GGGGCCGGTCACGGGGGGCCGAGCCACGCGTGCCGCAGGCTCTGTGCCGCCGTGGCGCGGCGCTGAGGCGAGTAGTGCAGCGCGGGCAGGAGGAAGCTGGCGAAGGGAGCGGCCGCCTCGCTCGTCCACTTGTGTGTGTCCTGCAGGACGCTGCGGAGGCTGCGGGGGCAGAGCCTGGAGAGCCGCAGGAGAGCACCTAGCAAAGACAGCGCGAGCACGGTACCTTGCTCAGACCTGCAGGGCTGGGAGGCTGCTGCTCCTCACCTCATGCAGCTCATCCAAATCATCCCGAAGGATCCCTCCGCCTCTAAATCGCACTCTCTGAAAGCTTCACCCGCACAGCTCCCTGCAGGTTTGGCTCCCAGGTGTTTCTCAGAAACCATCTTGCCAAGCTAGCGTTTGCTCTCTCCCTGTTGCTGAGTAACTCCTAGTTGAGAACGTGCGTGAATGAGGCGTTCCCAGAATAACCACATCAGAGCTTGTGCCCGGTGCCTGTCTGCATGCAGGCTGGAGTGCAGCAGGCCGTTTCAGCACCAGAACTCACAAGACGCTAATATTTAATGTGTCCTGTGCCTGCTAGCTCCCTGGGGCCCAGAAGAGTGCCAGTCCTGACCCAGAAGCTGTCCTTGTCCCCTGCAGTACGTGGTGTAAATGTAGTGACTCAGGTTAGGCCTGTGTTGTCAGGCCAGTTTGGTTCACATGGAGAATGAATAGAGAACTAGTTCTGACTCATTTCTTTTGAGCACCATAGAAGGAATAAGAGTGAGCAAAGGGTGTGAACCCTGCACAGGGGTGCTGGTTGTACTGCAGCGTGGGGGACTAGCCTTGGCATTGGATGAGCTGTGGGTGGGCTGGGGCTGGGTGGCTGGTGTGCAGGAAAGCAGAGAAAGGATAAGACTGAATGACATCAGGATCGAGTAATGGATGCCTTGAAGTCAAAGATGAGGATTTCAAGCCTAATGAGGAAAGGAATTGGGGAGAATTAAAAAAAAAATATATGTTATAATTAGGTCAGAAGACTGACTCTGGCAGCCATGCTGGAAGGATATGACTGTCCCATTTCTGATCAGCAGCATTCTGTGCCAGTGAAACGGGTGACATCCAGCCAGTTACACACCCTTCTCAGCCTTCCTGCTATGTGGGTGTTTCCTGCCTGTATTTCCACTCTCTCCAAATCCAGAAGAGAAAGAAAGGAAATGTGTTCCCCATTGGGTGTTTGCTGTGACCGTTTTTCAGGATTTTGCCTCCATCTCTGGAATGCTGCTGGATTGCAAAGGTAGGCAGGGCAGGAAGTGTTACTGCTCTTTATGAAATCTCCACTTGTCTTCTGTCCCTGCATGTCCCTGAGTTGTGTAACACAACTTTGGAGGTGAAAGCTGAGTAGAAGTGTGTCAGAGATCCACAGTAGTTTTTAATGTTAACCTTCTTTTCTCCAATTCTTACCTGGCCTGCTGAAAAATTTAGTTGACTTGTTCCAGGAGAAAGCTATTTGAGGAGGAATTCTTCCCAGGAGCTCAATGATACGAGCAACGTGATCTAAACAGAGGGAGAGAAAACACATGTAGGCAGAAGGATTGTGACACTTCTGTCAGTGAAATTAATAAAACTGATGGAGTCCTACCATCATCTCTGGAGAAATATTTCCCAGGTTGAGGATCAAATAGACAGTCTCCAGTTGCCATTTCAAATGCCTAGAAATGGAGGAGTGTTGGTAAGTCACTAACTGACCTGGAGGGTTTTTTTCCCTAGTAACTCTGATAGTACCAATTTCCCTTCCTGTCACACAGAACTGATCCTAATACAGAAATACTTGCACTGCTTTAATCCATGGTGGATGTTGCAAATTGAGAACCTGATTCAGTCAAGTCTGTCAACTAACATACACGGAGTGTGAATTGCTTTGTAGCTTAAACTAATTAAGAGTGACTTTTATCATCAGCACACTTTCAGTCCAGAGTGAGTGGGTGCACACAGCCCCTTTCTCTGCAGCAAGGAAGTCTTGCTGCCCATGCAGCAGGTATAGGTGGGTGCTGAGGTCATGCTGCCCTGGCCTCTTAGTGTCAGTCATCTGCCAGGCATGCACAGCCTTGTCGCAGTCCTACCAGGCAGCCCGTGCTCCAGATATCTGCAGGGGTGCCATAGTCTAATCCGAGAAGCACTTCCAGGGCACGGTATGGCTGGGTCTGTATCTCCTTGGAAAAAGGCTTGTACTGAAACAGAAAAAAACTCCATTGGGTTAGCATTCCTAAATGAGTAACAGCAACATTTGTGGTCTCAAGCTTCCCTCCCAGCAAGGACAACATGGAATATGTGTGCTACACTGCACTGGGCACAGCAGGCACATTCTGAGCCCTTCTGACACCAGAATGAATTTATCTCCCAACATTTCACACTGAACTCAGGTTTGAATTTCTGTTTGTAGGGACTTGCTGCAAGCTGAAGACACTTCCATAGCTGACAGTGTCTCCAGGAATACAGGACCCAGCTCTGAGCTGGGAATGCTGAATATAACACCCCCCTAAAACTAGCATCTCTTCAGCACAATGAAACAGCTGTAAAAGGACAGACACCCAGAGTGAGAGAGAAAGAAGCACACAGCATCCCACATTGTCATGGGACTGAGACTTGGAGCCAACTCACTGTCCAGCATGCACTGCCCAGATCTGCAATTTTCACTTCTATGCTCATTAAATCAGATTCTTCCAATCGATTGCCAAGATCACCATCTAGGTGGAAAGGACAGAAAGAAATCAGGTCTTTCCAAACTCACTGGTATGCATGACTTACCACAGGAGAAGGATGTAAGCCTTCCTTTGAAGTTTTTCAACTTAAAAGGTCCTAAAACATATTTATCACCACCTCTGTTTCTTTGAGGAAACACAAAGAGCTGGTATCCAGTCAAAATCTGAGGACACTCAGGAGGACAGTAGCTTGTAGTGGAGTGACCATGTACCCCCACCCTGCTGCAAAGTTCCTTGAGCACCTAGGTTACTGTGGGCTCAGAAGAAAGGGCAGTCGACCAGCACTAGTCAGACACAAAACATGTAATGCCTCCTTAGCCTTCAGGAATCCTGGCTGCCATGGCCCTTGGACACAGCCTGCTTGGCAAGCACTGTAAAGGCAACATTTTCATATGACCCCGGAAAAGGGTAATTTTTGGATTACTGCTTCACAGTGAGCTGTCAGTCTGTGCCTAATATTGTGCCTTTCTGCTCCAAGCAAGACTCAGTCACCAATCAAGCATTCCTCGATTGCCCCAGAGTCTGAGAGACAAAACAGCACCCTCATGGGGAAACATAATGCAAGGGAAAATGTGAAGGGTCTCATTGCTGATCTTCCAAGGAACTCTCTGGCCCCGTGTGTTATTCTATATTCACAGCATTCTCTGCAAATAAACCGTGTCTCAAAAGGTCTTGGAGATTAGCAGTACATACAAGTTTCCCACAAACCTCAGAAATAAGGGAAACAAAGAGCAGAAACATCACACAGCTTTCTGATCAAACCATTTTGTACAGAAATCTTCCAGTGGCTGAGAACACCAGACACAAGAGGACTACCCAGTGCCTAAAGCTGCAAGGAGGAGCTCTGAGGTCACAGTGGGGCTGTTAACAGATGCCTATCATTTGTAATTGTCCTCCACACAAACCCACCTGCAAGACCATATTTCTGTAGGTGCCTTGAGTAGCTTGTAGCCACTGATGTTTGTGTTAAGAGGAGATAGGAGAGGCCTCTCAGCAGCATTCAGCTGGCTGCACTGTTTGTAGTGGCTGTTGCAGGAGAGAGGAACTTTTCCTAAGATACCTGTGCCTGCTGCCTCTCCATTTCCCTCCTGGCAAGAAGCATGTAAGTCCCTTTCCTTGTTAAAAAAGCCCTGGAATGCTCACCTGGTCCCTTTCTCCTCAAATCTGTTGTCTGGCCACAGTCAAGCATGTTGGGCAGAAGCCTTTGGAGGCTTTGGTTGCGTCCGTACAGCAAGAGGTTCTCGGGTTTGATGTCAGCGTGGATGATGCGGCAGCGCTGGTGCAGGAACTGCAGCCCTGCTAGCACCTGGGTGAGCAGGCAGCAAAGCCAGGTCAGCAAGGCCAGGGTCCACACCTCAGCCCCCTGCCCCAGCAGCTCTCACAGCAGTCAGGCACAGCAGGGATACCAGCTGTGGACATCCTGCTGTTGAAGAAACGATGATAACTGGTGATCACTATCTGCAATAAATGATGGACAAGCCCTGGGAGATGGAAAGAGGAGGCATTACCATCACAAAGCTGAACTTTCTCCCAAAAAAACTCATTCCCGCTCATGTGATTTCATCCTTAAACCACCACGGCCTTCTTTCTATTATTATTCAAATGAAAGTTGGGGGCCAGTTAGAGTGACATGGCATGGGAAGGTGTCCCATTGTAAAAGGAAAGACCAGGAGGAGCAGCATAATCCAGGCAGGAGGAGGGAGAGCTATGTGTGTTTGTAGAGAGGACTGAACAGTAGTGCAGGAGAGCCATGTAGGAAAAAAACAGCTTATGATGGAGCAGGGAGAGTCTGGCCTGTCACAGGGGAGAGATAAACAATGCCTACCAGAGAGAAACAGTCACTATCAGAAATCAATAACAGCAAAAAGGCCACTGGGACATTTATTCTTTTTTTTTTTTTTTTTAAACACTCTGGTCAGTCATAAAGGGCTGGCAAATATTCTCTGTATTATCAAATTCTATTCTGGGATGAACACCAGCCCGGGGGAAATACCAACCTTAAATGGTAACTGTGAAACACAGGGAAAGATTTAAATAGCTAACTGGAATGAATCAGAAGTAAATACTGCCCCAGTGCTGATCTGATGGGGGAAAGAGATTCTGAGATTTTACAATTTAAGCAGATAAGGGAATGGATCAAGCAAAAGGCTTGGGTGTGAAATGGGGCACAGAGATTAATGCCACTACTATTTTGTGTAACTTGCTCAGGTGGTAGTGAAGCTTCTTTAGAGGAAGAAGAGCCTATTCCAAGGAAGAAGAGGCTACTCTAGAAAATAGGAGGAAGGAGGAAGCAGTTTTCATTCTTAGTGTCCCTAGAAGGGCATAGGAATCAGGGCAGCAAATCTTCATCTTGGCCAGTGTGTAGATTTCTGATAACTCAGCATGAGGCAAAATGTCATTTAAACTGTGCTGAGGCCTCACTCAGGCTTCCTGTCCCTCCGCTATTCCCAGCAACACATGAGAGACTCGGTTTTCACGATCTGTTTGATCAGCACACCACATCCTTACAAGGGATGAAGGAGGAGTTGGCTCTGAGCAGGAAAACCTCAAGATGGGTGGAGGAGCAGCCAACAGAACCAGCAATTTGGAAAGCCCTGGGAAGACATCAGCACTGAGGGAGACTTCAAGCAGTCTTTGATAGCCCCGTACTGACTCTTCCTGGTGGTGACTCCTTCTCAAACCTGATGAGACCTTAGGCTTGGGCAGCAACACATAGTGCCCCTGTATTCATGGGGATGTGATGGCTTCCCACTCTACAACTTACTTAATGTTTTTTCTTTCCTTATACACAAAATAAATAGTTACTGCTTTTCTTAAAAACTGCATGTGTTGGGCACTCACACGTGTTGTCCCTTTCTTTGCAGATGCAGCCATGGAGTTTATGGCAGCTGACAGCAGGATGAAGACTGTGCCATGTTCCCCAGCCAACATTCCCTTGGTGACCTCACCCACTTCAAGCTAAGTTCTCACCTGCTGTAAAGACTTTTTCACAAAGGGCAAAGGCAGTCCCTGGGCTCTGTAGTTACCCATCAGACATCGCAGGGAAGGACCCAGCACCTCAAATACCAAGCACACATGTGGGAAAG